ACCATCAGTTGAATATCAGAGAGGCTGATGTGGCTAAGACCGCTTTCAGAACTAGATTCGTCGTGATGCCGTTTGGCTTGAGCAATGCGCCAGCGGTATTCATGGATCTCATGAACCATGTCTTCCATCCATTTCTGGATCAGTTTGTCATCGTCTTCATTGATGATATTCTGGTCTATTCCAGTAGCCCGGAGCAGCATGAGGAGCATTTGAGGACCGTTTTGGAGACTCTTAGGTGTGAGAAGTTGTACGCCAAGTTCTCCAAGTGCAAATTTTGGCTCGATCAAGTGGCTTTTCTAGGCCACATTGTCACTTTCAGAGGGATTGAAGTAGACCCGAGTAAGATTGAAGCCGTTAGGAACTGGTCGACACCGAGAAATGCCACCGAGGTTTGGAGTTTTCTCGGTTTGGCAGGCTATTATAGACGTTTCATCGAAGGGTTTTCGAAGATTGCCCTACCCTTGTCCCGTTTGACGAGGAAATCGGTGAAGTTCGAGTGGTATAGTCGTTGTGAGTCGAGCTTCCAGGAGCTCAAAGCGAGGCTTACGACGGCCCCATTGTTGACTATTCCGGACCCCACACAGGGTTTCACTATCTATAGTGATGCCTCAAAGCAGGGTCTAGGCTGTGTTTTGATGCAAGATGACAGGGTTCTGGCTTATACTTCTCGTCAGCTAAAGCCACACAAGGTGAACTACCCAACTCACGATCTTGAGTTGGCAGCAGTGGTTCACGCCCTGAAGATTTGGAGGCACTATCTGTACGGAGGCCACTGCGAGATTTATACAGACCACAAGAGCTTACAGTATATCTTCACGCAGAAGGAGCTTAACATGCGCCAAAGGCGATGGTTAGAGCTCGTGAAAGATTATGACTGTACCATTAACTATCATCCAGGCAAGGCGAATGTGGTTGCCGATGCCCTCAGCCGTAAGGAGAGAGGCGGACTGACTTATATGGTCACCCAGCAGCGTCAGCTGATCCAAGAGTTCGCCCAGATGCAGTTAGAATTCGTCGAATCACCTCCTACGTTGCCAGTTGTGGGAGGTATTCGAGCGATGAGAATGTGGCTCATGCTTAGAGACAGGATCCTGCGGGATCAAGCCTTTGACGAGTTCATTCGCTCGATGGGGGCAAAGATTCATGCCGGAAGAGTTGAGGGTTTTTACCGAGGCACTGATGGTGCCTTGGAGTACAAGGGAAGGATCGTTGTGCCGAATGTCGAGGCCCTGAAGAAGGAGATCTTGACTGAGGCGCATAGTGCTCCATACTTGGCGCACCCCGGTAGCACCAAGATGTATCACGACCTGAAAAGATCTTTCTGGTGGAAGGGGATGAAGCGAGATGTCGCCGAGTTTGTTGAGAAGTGTCTGATTTGCCAGCAAGTGAAGGCTGAGCACAAGGTTCCACCGGGTCTCTTACAGCCTTTAGAGATTCCGCAGTGGAAGTGGGAGAAGCTGACCATGGAATTTGTCACGGGATTACCGGTGTTGGCCAAGCGCCACGACGCGGTATGGGTAGTAGTGGATCGACTTACGAAGTTAGCCCATTTCATGCCTGTCAGGATGGACATGTCTATGGAGCAGCTAGCCGATACGTATCTCCAAGGAATCGTTCGACTCCACGGCGTTCCAGCCGAGACTATATCAAATAGAGATCCCCAGTTTACTGGCCATTTGTGGGAGAGTCTGAACGAGTCCATGGGGACGAAGTTGAAGTTTAGCTCCGCCTATCATCCACAGACCAACGGTCAGTCAGAACAGACCATCCAGACGATTGAGGACATGCTCCGAGCTTGTGTCCTAGAGCATGGTGGTTCGTGGGAGCAGTTGATACCCACTGTGGAGTTTGCCTATAACAACAGTTACCACTCGTTGATCAAGATGGTGTCGTTCGAAGCTCTATACGGTCGCAAGTGCCGTTCACCCCTTTATTGGGATGAAGTCGGTGAGAAACAGGTTCTCGGTTCCAATTTGATCAAGGACACAGTGCAGAAGGTCGCCGAGATCCGAGCGAGATTGAAAGAGGCTCAGAGCCGACAGAAGGCCTACGCTAACAAGCGTAGAAGGGAGCTTGAGCTTGAGCAGGAAGATAAAGTGTTCCTGAAGGTCACGCCGATGAAGGGCCTTGTCCGATTCAGGAAGAGGGGAAAGCTGCAGCCCCGATTCATAGGGCCATTTGATATTCTCGAACGAGTTGGCGTCACAGCCTACCGTCTGGCGTTACCCCCAGAGCTCTCGGGTGTACACAACGTCTTCCATGTGTCGGTGTTGAGAAAGTACGTTTACGACCCGAGCCACATAGCAGAACCTGACGTATGATGAACGGACGGTAGCTGTTCTGAACCGAAAGGTCCGTCGGCTGAGGAGAAGAGATATAGAGCTCGTCAAAGATTGCTGGAGTCGCCATGATGAGTCGGAAGCCACTTGGGAGAGAGAGGCCGAGATCAGAGCTCGTTATCTCGATTTCGAGTTTGGAGATTTTCAGTTGTACATATATGTACTTTCTATTTTATGTTTTTTATGTACATAGTTTTGTAGTAGGAGTTCTGGCCTAGTACCTTAGTTTTGTATTTCTGAGAAAGGAAATATTTTAAGGAGGATAGGTTGTAACGCCCCGATCAGTTATGACATTAGAACGATTTCACTCGCTCGACTATAGAGTGAAATCGGTATTTTCAGATTTTTCGAGTTATATGATTAAGTGTTATTATTACATGATTTATGTGATACTATGTGTTTAAGTACTCGATTATTTTTTTTTAAGTATGTTAGACTAGTCGGTTATAAAGTGTGAAATTATTCGTTCGAGCCGGATCGTTAAAATTCTCGTATCGAACCCTAGCCGAACCTTAGACCCTCGTGAACCTTAACTCTTATTCAAGAGTCCCGAGTAGCTACTCGGCTTTAAGTGTTAGTTCACGAGCAAGGGATAACCGAGAACAAACAAAGGAAGTCACGAGCGCCCGTGCATCCGTGCCACACCCTAGCACCCGCGTCCACGCCTAAGACCTTGGTCCCGAGCCAAGGGTTAAACCTCCAACACCTTAGCTAATCCATGAGATTATGCGAGTGATTTAGGAGTCATGAGAAGCATTTTCAGCTTAGTTAACCTTAAGAAAGATTAACCAAAATCAAACCTTCATTAGACATTTTCTTTCCCTAAATGAGGTCCTATTGACATGAAATTTGGACAGCAAGTACATATCTATGTCTACTATTTAACTGCCAAGTTTCGTGATTTTTGGAGACTTGTAAATTTTAAACATTCATGAGGTTAAGAGCTCAATTATGTCCGGTTTAAATTTTAGATAAATGTAAAATCTTGATTTAATTGAGCTTCATGAGTAGACATGGCTTAGTATAAGTTAAGTGGCCGGAGAGGGTCACCTTCCCGTCCTGACCGGCGGTTCGAGTCCGTTTTGATTCGTGATTTCCGGTTCGAGTCTCTTTCCGAAATTTTAGTATTTTTCCTAGCCAGTCCAGTCCAGTTTAATCGCGCAGATAAGTCCGAGCATTTTTAGCATATAATTAAATATTTAGAGCATTATACATAGCATTATTATGCTTAAATATTTATGTAGCCTAAGGAGAGTCGAGCCTCTGACCACTACTCCAGTATCAGCACTTGCGTCAGATTTCAAGTTATCAGGTGGGGGTAATGTACTGGATTCCACATCATGTATAATATCTGTACCATGACAGAGGTATGTTTGAGGCAGCTAGTTCTCCAGGTGGGGGCCGACCTAAGGGCTTAAATATCCCATCTGGTGACCGGTGGGGGCCGACCTTAGGGCCTTTATATCCCATCGGTGTGTGCACACGAGCGGCCGACCTAAGGGTCGAGGGTCTTTTGACCACAGAAAAGAAAGAAAAAAAACGTTTACAGTTTCAGCTCTTATATATTTATGTTCATGACACGTTATTATAGATGATGTTTTATTCAGTACTGGTCTTTTCGGAGCATAGTGGCTTGCTCACGCCCCCATTGTGTTTTTCAGGAGACGGAGTCGAGCGTGCCGGATGAGCACAGATGTGGCGAAGCGTGGTCAAGAGAGTTGGACATATTTTACGCACATTTTATGTCCTAGTTTATGATCATGTATTTTATTCAGTTATGTATGCATGTATTCTGTATTTCGAATGCTTCCGCTAGCAGATTAGACAGTGCGAGACAGTTCAGACATTGCATGTTTAATTCCATTATCTGCAGCGGATAGTTTCGTTGCATGTTGTATATATGCCTGTGAACAAGTTAAGTTAAGTTTTTATCTGTGACATCCCGCAACAAGTTAGTATTTTCGAAAACCAAGCTCGCACGACTTTTCGAAAATAAAAGCAAAAATTTTACTCTGATTTTTTTCAAAGCTAGTAAGGCGGGGTGCGACAGAAATTCTAGTGCAACAATTGCAAATACTCCATTCCCTTTGCAATTCTTAGGTACAAGCTGCATATTTCGGTTGGGGACAACACCGGAATGGTTCGACTTTTGTGTTGGGACAAAGTTGCTCGAGAGTTGGTTGGAAAACCATGTGATGTTGTTCGTAGTGAAATGATGGAGGCATGTTTAATTTTTATTGAATTTTGCTCAAATGTTTTATTTGGAGTATTGGCAAAATTATAATTTAACTCAAAATTTATCGTGCAGGACAATGATGATCTACCACTTGACCTTGAACTTTTGACACACAAAGTGGTATTGTTCAAGGTTTCAAAGAAGAAGGATCAATTTGGACCATACAATGGTCCTTATACTGTTTCTCGAATAACAGTCGATCATATATTGGTTAGCAGATTTGGTTCTTTGGCCAACATGTCCCAGGTTGGCCTGATTTTATTAACAAGAATAAAAGTCCTTCAAAGTATAATAGAACTATTACTTTTATATTATATAATAATTAATATATTGTCAAGTAATGATTACATTTATTTATTTTTTTTTATTTTGCTGCAGCAAATAATACTATTTTCATAAAAAATTATATATTTTTTAATATGTAGGAATCAAATGCTGAAGAAGTGTACAACCCAATCAGGTTTGTAAAGGCTGAAGAAGTGAACATCCCAATCAGGGCTGTGAAAGCTGAAATGAACAGCCCAGATTGGGCTGTGAAGGGCTGCAAAGAGGATGTAAAGAAGAGAGAGAAAACTGGGCCAGGCTGTTCGGAAGAAATGATGGGGAAGAAGAAAATAAAGATTGAACAAATCTGAGTGCACTACATGATTTGGATTGAAGTTTTTTAGAAATAAATTAGTAGAATGCTTATGTTTTGAGTTTGTTTTAAGATTGAAATATTCCCAAATAAAAATTGTTTGAATCTGAATGCAATCCCTCTTTATTATATGAAAGAATAAAGTTTATTATATGCAATGAATTTATATTTTTTTTTGCTCAATATTAATAAATTACTTCAAACATTTACTATTTATCAGGAAAACATAAGCACTCAGAAGAGAACAGAACAAAACATAAACACTCAGAAAAGAACTTAATAGAGCTATAGATCTGACCATTTTAATATAAAAAAAAATATTAATTAAATGCATAAATCAGGAAAAGAGAATAAAAAAAACAAATGGACAATCAAAGCTTTTACTATTCTAGATTTTATACAGATATTGTTATTAAATAATCCACCTATTTATTACATTACTGATTACTGATTACCGATTTCCCTCCTAAAGCAATAATTCATAATACAGTTATAAATAGTTCTTATCTCAATATGAATCAGAATAAACTTATTTATTTCTATAATTACAGTTATAAATAGTTCCTATCTCAATGAGTTTGAATAAACTTATCTCAATACTGACTCTTTACAAGGCAAAGAAACACTATATAAACCCCAACACATCATTCATTTTTTTATGATTGCAGCAACTCAAAAATCAAATTAAACAATAGATTACACAACCCAAAAATTAAACAATAGATTACATCAACTCAAAAATCAAATATTATATTAAACAATAGATTATTTTTAAAACTCAAAAATCAAATATTTTTTATAATTGATTCTTCAGACATTTATATTAAACTAAACAATAGATTACAGCAACTCAAAAATCAAATATTATAAACAACCATTCCAGACAATAGTTTATAATTAGCAACTTAATTAAATACTTAAAAAATAAATATTTTTTTAAAAAACCTTTTAGCCAATAGTGTATATTCGGCATTTTATTTACACTTTTGTAACAACATATGTGCATTCATTCCTTTCATTTAAATTGAATAAAAGAGTGAACAAATTTTCCCAATCAAACTCAATATACCAATCAATTAATTTATTATAATAAATTATGTTACCAACTACATATCAGGTTTGCCATAATGAAGATCTGAAATTTATACTAGCATTAAATATATTGACATATATAGTCTCTGATTACTACTATATAAACATGCAAACCTATGTCATTTCAATTTTGAATAGACATCAAATAAAACACGTCTACAGTTTCTCACAAACATAAAAAAAAAAAATCTTATTTTCAATTTTGTCATCTCAAAATGAAGAGGTTGACATGCTCACAAACAATTGACACGAAAAGACAGAGGCCCGAAACCATGGAACATACACAGAAGAGTACTACACAAGATACATGCTCAACTTTCAGAAAACCAATAGGAAATCAAATCATTGGCAACACAACACAGATGCATTCAGTCATTCAACAGACACACAGGAGTACTACACAGGGTACATGCTAATTATACAATCATTTTTCATGACTTGACAAAGTTTCGATGATTGTATACCTGTGTAGTGCTTTGTTCGAGTTGTGATCCTCGCCATCAGCTTCATTGATCTTTTGTTTTCTTTTTGTTTCCTAATCATATAACAAATATTGTTAGGTACATCACAATAATGCAAATTAACACAAAATTTTGAGTTGCAGAGAGAATAAGACACTTATCTGTATATATTGTTGCCTCTGTTGGCCTCCTATGCTTGTTCTTGTAAGGAAAATAACGTGTAAATCATTTTCACTTCAAAGCATAATGCTTATACAGATACAAGCTGATTCTTTTACCTTTTTGTTGGGATATCATTAGCCTTTGGTCATTTTTCGGCAATCTGAGAAAAAAGAATAAACTTAACCAACTTGAAATAACAGTTTGTAATATATCAGAATATTGTGATATACGTACCTGCTCACGGTCATCAAAGGTTGTACTCGGTGCTCCTCAGGATTTGAACAGTTTAATAGTTTGGCCTTATGTAAAAACCGAAAAAAAAACGAAATCTTAGCATAGTTCGGCCTTATTTTTATAGTAAAAAAAACAATGCGTATCTTCAGGCTTAGCATAAGAGTTCATCTAAGCATTTCTTTAGGCTCTCTAGGCATATATACAGCTTATCTAAAAAAGAACGAAATAAGTCTTCGAAAAACACAGATCTGATTAGATTTGTTTGTAAATACATAATTTCAAAAATAAAAAAAGTTAATTATTTACGAAATGTACAAATCGTACTATATCTGTATAGATCTATTATGTAATTAGGATTTTAATAGAAAAATGTTCAAAAAAAATAAAAAAAATTGCAAAAGATTTGTAGATCTATTACAGATCTGTATAAATCTATTATGTACTCAGGATTTTAATAGAAAAATGTTCAAAAACAATAAAAAAATTACAAAAAATCTGTAGATCTACAAAGATCTGTCATGTAATCGCCGATTCTACCGAGATACAATGAATTTGTAAATCGGTGTTTTAAAATTGGGACGATTTCACTTTGTCGTTTCCCTTTTGATTCGAAAAAAATAAATCTCATGTATTTTTTCAGTATGGGCTTGAAAAACAGAACTGAATCGCCGGTGAAACACCGTTTTTGGCGAAATTATTGGCGAAAAATGGTCGAACAATTTCAGTAGAGAGATAAATGGGAGAGAGAATCGGCGACAGAAAAATGAGAGAGGCGATAAAAATGGCGATAAAGGTGCACCGTTAGGGTTTGAGGTATTTAAATGCGTGTAAAGACACGCGTCTCCATATTAAGTGAGACGTAAAAAACATGTCGCCAGTTGACATATTTATTGGCTCAGAACAATTAAACGGTACAATTATTGCCGGTTATTTGGGCTCAGAACTGGGCAAGACATATTATTTTTTAAAGCCCCATACATAGGTTAGTTAATAGCAAGTATACTTAATATGATAATAAAGCCCAATTTTTCCCAACAATTTATATTGGGCTCATACTTATAAATTTCCTGCCCCAATAATGTTTAATATGATATATAGTACACATATAATTATTACAAATATTTATTCCAAATAGTTGTAGTACAAAAATTTATCATCTAAACAAGTAAAACTATTAAATGTATGTATTTATACATATAGTAATCATTACAGCAACTTATCCCAAAAACACATCATTCCAAGAAAGAATGTATTTATTATTGTTTGTTTAGTATATTGACCATTAATTAATTTTTCATGTTAGGTTTTCAATTCGCAAATTCTCAACGTTCCTCTCAGAATAGTTCCATAACTCAACTCACGAATATATCTTGGAGCGGTTTAGTACCTTTCGTTGATCTTACAACGGACGTCGAAAAAAATGCTACCCCTACAACATTGGGTAACCATGTCGGCAATGGTAATTCTCAATTAGTGTCCAATTTATTGAACTTATATTAATAAAAGAAAACATTTTTTATTGGATCATGTATATTTAAGTGATACTTTTTTTTTTGTTCTTTTTTAATAATAATCCATTTGTGTGCAGATTCATCATTATACTTACCACCTCGGAAGAATGTACGCGGACGTCCGAGGCGCACATTACCTCCCCCCACAAATGGTAATTATAGTTTTATTATCAATTTGCCTAAATTAATTATTTTTAACAAGAAAAAAAATCACTTGAAAATATGTATATGGTATTTTTTAAATAATAATACAATGTTTTATATTGTTTCATCATTAAACTTGCCAGCTCAAAAGAATGTAGGCGGGCGTCCGAGGAACGTATTTCCTCAAATGCCCATTAATACTAGAGGTTCATCGTCATTGGCCAGTTTCTCGCACTCATCCATCAGCACTGGTAATTATTTTACTTTTGTATTTAAATTTTTTTTTTTCATATTTTATCTTTCAAATCCTTTTACCTTTGTTTAGAGCATGGTATATAAAATGATTAATAAATTGTTAATATATTTGAATATTACAATTCCGCAGAATATTGGGATATTGGCGATGCATCGTTCCGTTGCTTTCACTGTGGTGCCAAATTTTTGTATTCCGAGCGACTGGGCCAGCCATCTAAACCTAAGGTCCCTAAGTATTCTGGGTGCTGCAACAATGGATTCATCGAACTTCCACCCGTTTACACTCCGCCCCCTTTCCGCGTGATATTATTTTTGGGACGGGTCCTCAGAGCAAGCACTTTCAAGAAAATATTCGGTCATACAACAACATGTTCTGCTTTACATCCATGGGGGGGAAAATTGATACCGGCATAAACAAGGGAACCGACCCACCCATCTTCCGTTTGCACGGTCAGAACTACCATTTAATGGGTAGTTTGCTACCCGACCATGGGTCCCCTCCGAAATTTGCTCAACTGTACATCTATGACACAGAGAACGAAGTATCAAACCGATTGTCTTCTGTGAGGTATATATATATTATATTTTTATCATTCAAAATTGAGTACTTAGTTTTTCTTCATTGCGTTTTACATTATCTTTACTAATTCAATATAATTTTTTATTTATGTCAGGAGAGGTTCTGACAGAAATAACCTAGATGAGGATGTAGTTCGTGGTTTAAATGAGCTACTCCATCATTACAATGTTTTGGTCAAGTCGTTCAGGATGGCGCGAGAGACGGTGAACCAGGACCAACAAATTGAACTTAAGATGTGTCTTATCGTTAGAAGGAACAAGGATGGTCGGCGTTATAATTTACCCTCCACTTCTGAAGTTGCCGCCTTAGTTGTTGGGGATTTCGATGATGCTATGGGTAGCAGAGATATTATAGTAGAAAATCGGAGCGGACGTCTGCAGTGGATCAACAAGTTGAACGCTTCCTACTTGGCTCTCTATTATCCTGTTCTTTTTTCATATGGCAAGGATGGTTATGGGGAGGACATTCCGTTCTTCTGCCTCAAACCGATCACGAAGAGCTCAAGGAAATTTATCAGCCCTAATGAATTCTTCAAGTATCGAATGCACGATCGGGACGGCGAATTGTCGTTAATTCTTTCCGCTCGGAGGTTGTTTCAGCAGTTTGTTGTGGACGCTTATACAATGGTAGAGGGATTTTGGCTCAGATATATCCGTTTTAATCAGAAGAACTTGAGAACCGAATTGTACAGTAGGCTATCCGACGTTGTGTTGCGCGGTGACACAGATCCTGGTTCCAAGGCAAACGAATTATAATTCCGTCATCCTTTACGGGTGGCCCGAGATATATGATTCAGAACTATCAGGATGCGACGGCCATTTGTCGTTGGACCGGTTATCCTGACATTTTCATAACCTTCACTTGCAATCCGAAGTGGCCCGAAATCAGTCATTTTCTTGCTGAGAAGAACCTCAACCCAGAGGATCGTCCTGATAGTTTGTCGGGTTTTTAAGACCAAGTTGGATGCATTGATGAGGGATGTTCGACATAACAAGATGTTTGGAGAGGTGAATGCAGGTATTTTTCAAACTATTTTTTAAGTGATTTATTTATATTTTTTATTTTTATTATATGTTTCGCATTGTATTTTTTTTACCTAAGTATGAATCTACTGCAGCAATCTACACGATTGAATTCCAGAAACGTGGACTTCCACATGCGCATATCTTGCTTTTCCTTGCCAAGGAATACAAGATACAGACTACTGATGGCATAGATAAAATAATTTCTACGGAAATACCGGATGAGGCCACAGATCCATTTTACTATGCCGTTGTTAGAGATCATATGATGCACGGCCCCTGTGGAAGTGTTCGCCCGAAATCTCCGTGTATGGCGAACGATTGTTGCACAAAACATTTTCCTAAAGAGTTCTCTGAAACCACGACTCTCGATGAAGAAGGCTATTCACGATACAGACGTCGTGATAATGGCAGGACCATAGAAAAGAATGGCATTCCCTTGGATAACAGATACGTTGTGCCTCATAACAGAAAATTGCTCATGAAGTACAGCGCGCACATTAATATGGAGTGGTGCAACCAGTCGAGGTCGATCAAATATTTGTTCAAGTACGTGAACAAGGGGAACGATTGTGTTACTGCCACCTTCCATGCATCCAATGGAGATGAGTCCTCAAGCAGGCCAGTTGAAGAGGTGAAGATGTACTATGATTGTCGATATGTTTCATCTTGTGAGGCTGCGTGACGGTTGTTAGATTATGAGATTCAATACAAGCATCCATCAGTGGAGCGCTTGAATTTCCACCTCGAGAACGAGCATCCATGCTACTATGACGATGAAGTTCCGATAGAAGTGGTTAACAAAAATAAAAATGCCGACAGCAAATTCTTAGCTTGGATGGAAGCTAACAAGAAGTATCCCGAGCTAGGAAACTGACGTACGTTGAGGCTCCCACCAAATTTACGTGGCACTCGGAAACCAACAGTTGGGAGCCTAGGAAAGGAAGTGACTGAATCGCGCGTTTGTACTTCGTCCCCCCTGGTGCTGGTGACATATATTACTTGAGGTGTCTTGTTGTTCGAGGTGCAACGTGCCATAGTGACTATATGAAGTTGGACGGAGTGCAACAAGATTCTTATTGTGATGCGTGTTATACCCTTGGTCTGGTTGAGGACGACAAAGAGTACATTGAAGGGATTATTGAGGCAAGCCAGTGGTCGAGTGCCAATTCGTTGTGAAACCTTTTTTCTACATTGTTGTCTTCTGATACTCTCGGTAGACTGGAGTTCGTGTGGGAATCATGCTGGCCTTACCTATCGGATAACATATTATATAATCGTCGGAGGGTTTTACAGCCAGGTAAATGAATTAATTACGGTCACATACTTATGTTTTTTTTCTTTTTCTCTTATGTCTTTATATTTATAAACTTTATATATTGTTGTTACAGAATTGGTTTTGAGCGATGATGACGTAAAGAATCTGGAATTGGTAGAGGTTGAAAAAATTTTGCGCAGACGTCGTGCGAGTCTACGAGAATACGGTACAATGCCTTTTCCTAATCTCGATCGTAATGAGGCATCCACGAACAGACTGGTGATAGACGAGTTGAATTACGATCGTCGTGCACTTGCTATTGAGAATCAGGAGTTGGTTGCCAATATGACTGATGAGCAGCGCAATGTTTATGACTCGATAATGGACTCTGTTTACCGTACCTACGGCCGCATGTTTTTCGTTTATGGTTACGGCGGCACCGGAAAAACGTATGTTTGGAGGGCGTTGTCTTCTGCTTTGAGATCCAAAGGTGAAATTGTTTTGAACGTTGCATCTAGCGGTATAGCATCACTTTTGCTTCCCGGCAGACGCACTGCTCATTCACGATTCAAAATCCCACTAAACCCAATGGAAGGTTCTACATGCGATATTAGCCAGCAGAGTCCTTTGGCCGAACTGATCATACAATGTCGGTTGATCATTTGTGATGAAGCCCCGATGATGAACAAATATTGCTTCCAGGCTGTTGACAACACCTTGCGAGCCTTAATGGAAGCAGTTGATCCATCGAGGAAAAATCTCCCATTTGGCGTCAAGTGTGTTGTGTTAGGTGGGGATTTCAGACAGATACTCCCCGTTGTCCCTAAAGGCAGTCGAAGCGACATAGTTAATGCGACCATCAATTCATCCAAGTTGTGGGGCGATTGTATCGTTCTGAGACTTACTCGCAATATGAGGCTTCGAAGCCTTGGTGGGGGCGATGAGTACGATGAGTTGAGGAACTTCTCTGATTTGCTTGCAAACATCGGCGACGGTACAGTCGAACGACGGTTGTGCCGATATCGACATCCCCGACGATTTTCTTCTACACTCACAAGGGGATCCTATTGGTACTATTGTTGAGAGTACCTACCCCATGTTCAGGAGTGCAGGTGACGATCTTAGCTATCTGAAGGACAGAGCCATACTCGCTCCCACACTTGATGTGGTTGAGCCATTAACGAGTACATGAGCTCACTGAACTCATCCGAGGGAAGGACTTACTTGAGTTCAGACACCCTGTGCAAGTCAGATGTTGGATATGATTCTCTTCAGGATCTTCACACTCCTGAGTTTCTCAATGGGATCAAGCGCTCTGGCCTTCCGAATCATAAATTGCACCTCAAGGTCGGCACTCCAGTGATGCTTCTCAGAAACATTGATCACTCCATGGGGTTGTGCAACGGTACTGTTCATCAAAAGTCAATTTGTCATCTACATTTCCTTTTATATTTGTACATTTTTTAGTGATATGACTATGTTTTCCGAGTTTTGATGTCAACAGGTACACGGTTGGTTATCACTAAGCTCAGCAGCCATGTCCTCAAATGCAGGATTTTAACCGGCGCCAGAGCTGGTGACAAGGTTCTTATTCCTAGGCTCACAATCATACCATCCGATTTGAGGGTACCGTTCAAATTTCAGCACAGACAATTTCCGCTCATGGTCTCATATGCTATGACTATCAACAAGAGTCAAGGCCAATCACTGTCCCACGTCGGATTACTATTGAAGAACCCTGTATTCAGTCATGGACAGTTGTATGTGGCACTATCTAGAGTCACGAATCAGAGGGGTCTGAAGATAATGATTTGTGGTGATGGAGATTTTGACGATAGAAAAACTAGGATCGTTGTATATAAAGAAGTGTTTAATACTATTTACATTTAGATTTTATTGGTTAACTTTTTTCTCAACGATCATGTTATGAATTTTACAATTTTTTTTTTCTCTATCGTATATTTTTCCGTGCATGTGCACGGGTCAAAAGCTAGTTCATTCTAAAAGCTTATGAAAGTTATATACTTATAAAAAATTTAAAAGAATTTATAGATTTTTTTTTCAAGTTTTATAAACTTAATATTATCATTTTATTTTTATATTAGGTTTTAATAGATAATTGTTTTTAATAGAATAGCATCCCCTTAAAAATTTCGTATATAATTGATAATGATCCCTTAAATTTATTAAAAAAATATATTATTCATCATATCTTATGCCT